TTGGACACTTGCAGCACCTCCTGCCCGTAGGCTCTGTGGGGAACAGAGCAACCACCTCACCCCACCCATCCCGTGACTCAGAGCAGAGGTGTTATAATTATCCTCTCTCCCCTGCAGCTGCCAATATTTACAGGTCTCCCTGTGCACTGGTGCTGTGATTTGGAAGAACACCCTGTTTACTGGTGTGCTAGCTGACAGCCGGCAATGTGATCGGGGCCGCTCCCAGCAGTCTCCCTGGGGCAGTCTGGAAGGGCCACTCTCCTGTTTTCCTGCTGATGTTTCTGGGTCAGGTTTTGCAAACAAGTGCGGGGCACGGCCAGGCAGGCGGGCTGTACAGCGTGCTGACCTTGGTGACCTCCTTGCAGGCTGCTACATGGATTTTTGGGGTAGAGAGAAGCGTGAGGAGGAGAGGCTGCATGCACCAACTGCACGTGCTGCATCCCCCAGGCGTTGCGGTTCTGTAAAAAGCCATCGGCCGCCCTGCAGGTGCTTTGCACCCCACAATGGTCGCATTCTGGGGGGTTCAAAGGGCAATGCTCCATGCAAACCCTCAGCCTGGTGCTTCCTCGTCCCGACTCCACGCAGCACCGACCCCCCCCCCCAGGTCTCCCGGCGTCCCCCAGCAGGACCATACGGACAGCATGTCCCCAGCTTGTTTACTGCGGCCGTGCGCCTCGATTGTCACCACCATGTGACAGGTGATGCCTTCAGACAGCCGAGCCAGCTCCACGTGACTGCTGGGCGATGGATAAAAGCTGCGTGAGGGGCTCCGGCAGCAGAACTGGGGTTGCTCTGAGGAGGAGCAGTAGTGCCGTACCGATGGATTTCCAGCCTAGCATCCTGCGCGATGGCAGCCCCATGGAGAGCCTGGAGAAGCAGCTGCTGTGCCCCATCTGCCTGGAGATGTTCAGCAAGCCTGTGGTGATCCTGCCCTGCCAGCACAACCTCTGCCGCAAGTGTGCCAATGACATCTTCCAGGTGAGATGAGGACCCCCTTGGATGTTGCCCTGCTCCGGGATGCTCTGTGCATGCACCTGGGGACACTCTGATGTCCCTGTCCCCCTCCAGGCTGCCAATCCGTACTGGCAGAGCCGAGGCAGCAGCATCATTTCGGGGGGCCGGTTCCGCTGCCCTACGTGCCGCCACGAGGTCCTGCTGGACCGCCACGGTGTCTATGGGCTGCAGAGGAACCTGCTGGTGGAGAACATCATCGACATCTACAAGCAGGAGTTCTCCAGGTTGGTCCCACGGGGACACGGGGACTGCCACGTCATTTTGTTTTGGGTGAGAAACTGGGGGGCTGGCTTGGTGCTCCCCCCCCAGCTGTCCCTAACCCAAATCTCCACCTCACAATTGAGATCTCCATTCTCAACTCAAATCTTTACCCTCAACCCAAATCTTCATCTTCCAGCCCTGTGCCATTCTGGTCTGCAGTTGCTCCCCGGGGACAGGGGGACCTGTGGGGGGTGGCAGAAGAACGAATCCTGCCCCCAGCCTGACACCCTGCAGCTTTGGCTTTCGGTTGAAGATAAGGGGTGTGAGGGACAAATCCAGGCTCTGCCTGTGACAGCAAGGAGTGATAAGGGACAGGGGGACAGCCTGAGGGGTTTGATGGCATTGTTCAGTGGCAGAGGCGCAGCAGGAGGGAGAAAGACAGGGGGGTGATGTTTTTTAAACAACCCGGACATGTGGGTTCGTCTCCCCATTCTCCTGCCCCACTGTAAATATTGTTCCAGCGCCATGGAAACAGGGATGGAAGGCACGTGGCAGGTGGCTGCAGCCCCTGGGGGGGGAGCTGGCGAACCCCCCAGTGGTGACTCAATTGCTGTCACCCCCCTGAGCTCCCTGGAGCCCCTGCCTGGGTCATGCGTTGGATGATAATAATAAATGCCAGCAGCACTCAGCTAAAATTAGGAGCTTGTGCAGCATCCCTGGAGCGTGGCCCCAACTGCTGCCATAGCTGATGACACACTGCTGCAAACTGGGCTTACTGGGCATGCAGGGGGACGTGGGCCAGGATCTGGTTATGGGCAGTAGTTCTGCATTGGTGGGGAAGTCACTGCTGTGGGGATGTCACCATGGTGGGAACATCACCGCGATGGGGACATCAATATGGCGGGGATGTCATCTTGCTGGGGATGTCATCATGGCCGGGCTGCTCTTTCCAGCAGGCCACTCAAGAAGGGGGAGCACCCCATGTGCAAGGAGCACGAGGATGAGAGGATCAACATCTACTGTGTCACCTGTGAGGTCCCCACCTGCTCCATGTGCAAGGTCTTCGGTGCTCACAAAGACTGCGAAGTGGCCCCTCTGCAGAGCATCTTCCAGGGCCAGAAGGTGCCATGGGGGGGACATGGGGCCACGGTGGGGCATGGCCAGAACTGGGCGATGTGCTGAGCTAGGGTGGCTGCAAATAGCATTGGGATGCCTCATGGGGTATTAATAGGCAGCGGGCTGACTTTGACCAGGAGACAGCCCTATATTTAGTGTGATGCCCCCCCTCTCAGCCTGTGGGATGGGGGATGGACGGTGATATCCTGGCAGCACCCATCCCTGCCCTGCAGGAGTTAAAGCTGCTTCTGTCCATCTGTCCCTGACCAGAGCGAGCTGAACAACTGCATTTCCATGCTAGTGGCAGGGAACGACCGCATCCAGACCATCATTTCCCAGCTGGAGGATTCCTGCCGCAGCACTGAGGTGAGGGACAGGGAAATATAGACCCCGAAACCCAGTTCTGGGGGAACCAGCCCCTGAGCAGAGGACATAGGAACTGGAAGGACACAGCTTTGTCCCCACAGGAGAACAGCGAGGCAGCCAAGCAGGAGCTCTGTGCACGTTTTGATGCATTTGCAGCGCTGCTGGAGGAGAAGAAGATGGAGCTGCTGGGACGCATCACCCGTGAGCAGGAGGACAAGACAGGCTTTGTGCAAGGCCTCATCCAGAAGTATAAGGAGCAGCTAGAGAAGTCCAGCCGGCTGGTAGAGACGGCCGTCCAGGCCATGGAGGAGACCGACGGGGCCGCCTTCCTCATGGTGAGACCTTCAACCCCTAAAGCCCTCGCTTCCTATAGGGAACCCCTTGTGCCACGTCCTGGTGGCACAGGGACATGCTGGCTGCCGCTGCTCTGACACCCTCACCTTTCCTCTTAATCCCACAGAATGCCAAGCAGCTCATTAAAACGTAAGTGCCCAAACTGGGGGAAGCTGGGGGATCCCCATCCTCTGCCAGGTGTGGACCATATGGCTCTGCTCTACGCTCGGGGCTGTGGGACCACTGCTGTGCTCCCTCCCCCAGGATTGTGGAGGCCTCCAAGGGCGGCATGCTGGAGAAGATTGAGCAAGGCTATGAGAACATGGATGCCTTCACAGTCAATCTTGAGCACCTCAACGATGCCGTCCATGCCTTGGACTTTGAGTCAGGTAATCCCACCCCAAAAACCCCTCTGGGACCTGGAAACGAGGATCCTTCAGCAGCTGCCCCTCACTGACATCTGGTGCCCATTTACAGATGAGGAGGATGAGTTCTATGAGGAGGTGGAAGAAGACACAGGAGACACAGAACCCGAAAGAGTAGCGGCAGGTAGGGCCTCTCTGTGCCAGCATCGCCAGCATCATGGTGGAACCCCCACAGACAGAGGGGATGATGGAGGGTTGATGAAGTCCCACTCACTACCCTCTCCTTCTGCAGCCCCCCAGTAGGACGCAGGATGTCCAGGACAGAACCTGGGGACACACTGATGGGGCCAGCCATCCAGCTCCAGTACAGGACGCTTTTCTATACGGGTGCCAAGAGGACTATTCCGCACATTTTATATGTTCCTTGTTTTGTATATAATTGTAATGGAGTTGCGTATTTTGTACAGAAAACCGGTGCTCTGGCTTTTTCCTCCCCCCCCCCCCACCTCTCCTTTTCTCACTCGTCCCTGTGATGGGTTTGGGGATGTGGGAGGGTTCCCTGGTTTTGGACCAGTGCCTGATTCTCAGCCTAATTAACACCTCCGGTGGCACTGGCACCCCATGCTGGCCACACTCCCAGGATGTGACAGGTCAGCACCCGGAAAGATTTATCCCAGTGCTTACCCAGCCTCAGGGATGTGGGGTGACAGCACTCCAGACTCTGCCAGCCCCAAAAGGGGCCAGCATGGAGCTGAGCTCACACGGGTCCAAAATCGCAGCACAGTTGGGTTCTCCCGTGCCAACATAAACCCGGCTTGGGGTCGAGAGTAAACTGAGGCAGTGCTGAAAGCAGTGCTCAGTGCTGTGCCGTGACTGCAGTCAGCCCCACAGCAATGAGTGCTGTCCCTGGAGGCAGTGGGGGGCAGTCACTGCTACGGGGGTGTCCAACCACAGATCCCAGGCGAGATCCACCTGCCCAGCTGGATTTAAACTGGGGGAAAGCAAGGTTCCCATGGTGGGAAGGGAGCGCACAGGGGGGTCAATGCAACCCTGTCCTTGAGGGGTGCAGCTACATCCTGCATGCAGCATACGATGTGCCCCTGGGATGCACGTGGGGAGCAGCCCCCCGTTACACCGAGAGCCCCCCGGCTGCGGGCTGCGGCACGGCCAGCCTGGGGCGAGGCTCAGCAGGCGCTTTGCAGCCGGCCTGGCCCTCCTCCCCCGGCCTGGCTTTGCACACGGGTCCCGCCGCTCCACACGGCCGCGACCGCAGCTGCCACCAGCGCAGGACCCGCACCGGGGTCACCAGCGCCGGCTTCCGAGGGATGGCAGCGGGAGGAGGGGAGAAGCAGCAGCTGCTGGGCGAGGGCACGGGCAGGTAAGGGGGTGCGCGGAGGGGCTGCGTGTACCCTCACGGGGCTCCTGGATGGGGTCCCCGTGGCCAAAGCCGTCCGTTCAGGGAGAGGACCTGGGGAAGGGGACGCGTAGGAGCAGGGCTGAATGCAAAGAGCGGGCTGCAGGTCCCCTCCTCCTTCCTCCCCCCCCTCTCCCCGTCCCCCAGCCGGGTGTCCCGATGTCACCCGTCCCCGCAGGTCCTACCTGGGCATGGCACAGAAGCATGCAGCGGGCTCGGCGCAGGGCCAGGCGCCCACCCTGGAGCTGAGAGCACGGCACCGCCAGCACTGCCATGCGGGGGGGGCTGGCAGTGACCCCCGCCAGCAGCAGCGGGCGCGCAGGAAGCTCTATGTGGCTGCTGGCATCTGCCTCATCTTCATGGTGGGGGAAGCTGTGGGTGAGCGAGTGCTGGGTGAACGGATTGCCCTGCATGGCCCCTCTTGTTCTGATCTGTGCAATGGGGCAGGGTTCCGTGCTTTGCAGTGAGGTGACCCAGTCTGTGTTTGGCTCTGGATGGGGATCTCCCATCCATACTGCAGGCGGGTACCTGGCCCACAGCCTGGCCATCCTGACGGACGCTGCCCACCTCCTGACGGACTTTGCCAGCATCATGATCAGCCTCTTTGCCCTCTGGGTGTCCTCACGTCCCGCCACCAAAACCATGAACTTTGGCTGGCACCGTGCAGGTAACCTCAGGATCCTGCTGCAGCCCCACTGCGTGCCTTCCCTAGAGCACAGTGACATCTGAGGGCTGTCTGCAGAGATCCTGGGGGCCCTGCTCTCCGTGCTGTCCATCTGGGTAGTGACGGGTGTCCTGGTGTACCTGGCGGCCCAACGCCTGCTCTTGGGTGACTACGACATCGAGGGCAGCGTCATGCTCATCACCTCTGCCTGCGCTGTGGCCGTCAACATCGTGTACGTATGATGTGCTGTCACCCCCTGGGCAGGAGGTCGGTGGCCAGGGGATGTCACTGCTGCTCTGCCTGCAGGATGGGGGCAGCTCTGCACCAAACGGGGCACGGGCACAGCCATGGAGGGGCTCATGAGCAGCCCCACACCCATGAACAGCCCAATCCCAGCGTCCGTGCAGCCTTCGTCCACGTGGTGGGGGATCTGCTGCAGAGCGTCGGCGTCCTCATTGCATCCTACATCATCTTCTTTAAGGTCTGGAGGGGAGGGAGACATGGGGGACGTGGGCTTGTCCAGCCGTGAGGTCAGATGGGGCTGAGTGCCAGTGCGGATTTGGCTGCACTTGGTGGGTTTCACCTGCTCCCACCCCCCCCAGCCCGAATACAAGTACGTGGACCCCATCTGCACCTTCCTCTTCTCCGTGCTGGTGCTGGGGACAACGCTGACCATCCTCCGTGACGTCCTCCTCGTCCTCATGGAGGGTAGGGAGCCCCCCGGGGGCTGATGATATGTGCCCCCCTCCCGTGGATGCTTTGTCTCCATCCCACCCCGCGTCCCTCCAGGCACCCCCAGGGGGATGGACTTCAACGCGGTGCGGGACACGCTGCTGGCGGTGGGCGGCGTGGAGGCGGTGCACAGCCTGCACATCTGGGCGCTGACAGCCTCGCAGCCGCTGCTCTCTGTGCACATCGCCATCAGTGAGTGCTGCTGGGCCGGGGGAGGGGGCTGGGACGCGATGGGTTTCCCCGGCCCCCAACACCCCTCCGGGCTCCTTGCAGATGCGGGTGCCGACTCGCAGGAGGTGTTGGAGGAGGCCAGCTCCCGACTGCAGCGCGCCTTCCGTTTCCACACCACCACCATCCAGATCGAGAGCTACTCCGAGGACATGCGGGACTGCCGTGAGTGTCAGCCTCCCAGCGACTGAGCGACGCTGAGCCCCGCCGTTCCTCCCCGTCCCTCTCCCCACCAATTTTTTTTTTAATACGAGGAAAATAAACGCCAGCAAACAGCAGCGCCGGGTATTCGCGGGGGACGGCTTCGGGATAGGCGATGTTGAGTCTGGAGGCAGCGGGGCTTTATCGGGAGTGACGGCAGTGAAAGCAGAGCCAGGGCTGCAGGAGGAGGCGGGGGGGGGGAGAGGGAGGGAGGCAAAGCTTGCTTCGTTTATCACTATTTTAGTTGAGAAAAGCATCTGAAACAACGGATTTTTTTTCCCTCCAGCTTTGAGGAGCGCTGGGGGGAGAGCGGGATGCAGGGGTGCAGAGGGAGGAGCCCCCGGTCCCGCTGTCCTGTTTGGGGGAGGGAGGACCGGCTCGCCCTGCTCTCACCCCTTATCGCTGCTCTGTTTATTTTTGGGAAGCTCAGCCCTCCCGGCCAGCTGCTGGCGGAGTGGGGATGGTGGCAGGAACGGGAACACGGGAACACAGGGACGAGGAGGTGGCCCTGCAGTGTGTGGGGCAGGGATGGCTATGGGGCACCCGCGGCCACAACGCAGCTCCCGATGCTGTGCTGCTGCTCGGGGCTCAAACACGGGAGCACAGCAGTGATTGCTAAGCCCAGAGGTGTTGTGAGAGGTGGCACAGTGCTGTGCCATTGCTGGGTACAGGATGTCAGACTTTGCACCTCCACTGATCTTTATTGTACTGGTAAAACCCAATCAGGAATAAAGCCCCATGGCTGTGCTTGGTCCAGGGGGGCTGTGCCATGCCCTGCGAGGTCTGTGCAGAGGTTTGGGCTGCACAGCTGAGCTCAGGGCTTCTCCAAGTAGCGATATTTCTTGCGCAGGACGGAGACCTGGTCCTTGAAGAGCACTGGGTCGAGGCGCAGCTGGGAGGACACGAGGGGCATGGAGCCAAACCAGTCCACCAGCTGGTTGAGGCAATCCTGCTGCTGGGAGAAACGCCGGGTGCTGCCTGCCGCTGTGTCCTTCACCTGCGCAGGAGGAGAATGCAGGGTGAAGGGTTGTGCCCCCAGCTGGGGTGTCTCTGAAGCTCAGGATGCCATCCTACCGGCTGAGTTGCAGCTTCTTTGTGCTGTTTCCACTGCGTGACCTTGATGGGAGGCAGCTTGGTGACAGCAGCCACCAGCAGGTTCATAAGGATGTCCTCGCAGGCGGTCAGTCTGTCCACCAGCTCCCGCAGCCCCGCGGGGAGGTACTCCGTGAAGAGGCTGTGGTAATACCTGTGGAGAATGAGGAGGGCAGGCTTCAGCCTCACAGCCCCACGGGGCCCTCCCCATCCGCCCAGGTACCTGTGGTAGAAGGCGGCGGTGGTGAGGACGATGGAGAGCTTGTTGGTCCACCTGGAGGTGTAGCCCCAGCGCTTCTGCTCGGGGTCCCAGAAGTGGCTCCATGCAGAGAAGCCCACGATGCGCTCAGGGAAGCTGCGCCACACCACAAAGGCAAAATCCACCTGCAAAGGGCAGGGGATGGCATAATTTCAACCCACAGGGACTCGTAAGAGGAGGCTGATGGCCGCCCGATTGCCTGTCCCTGAGCTTTGGGATATGGGGACAGCACTCCCTGCCAGCTCTGCAGTGACCACCACGCATCCTGCTCAGATCCATGGGGCTGGGAAGTGCTCACCTCGCTGGTGGAGAGGCTGGTGTGCTCATCCAGGCTGAGCACTGCGTCCGTCCCAATGGCTGCGTATGGGAAGAAGCGGTCGCTGAGCTGCAGCAGAGGTGGGAGTTCAATATGGGATGTACTGTGTACCCCATGGGGTGTATGGCTGTGTACCCCAGCTCCCTGCATCCTGCTCTGTGTACCTTCGTCCTGCCCTGGATGATGGTGAGAGGCACAGCAGTCTGTGGCCATGTCCCACTTGGAGGTGGTGGCTTCTCGCAGCTCCACAGCACCAGGATCTTTGGGAGGGGGGAAAGGCACAGTGGAGGGGCATTCCCTGGAGTCTGTTATCAGTGTTTGCAAGGCAGCTGAGGCTGAACCCTCCTGGTCCTGCTGTGGGACCATCTCCAGCCCACTCTCCACATCGGGCTGCACCTCTTTCATCCCAAAAACATTACACCAGGATTTGGACCAGCCTCAGAATAAAACCCTAAGTGATCCAGTTGTTGCTGCAAGCAGGGGACATTGAGGGTGACACGATCACTGCCAACCCCCTCCCACCCCAATCCCACCCCGGCCGTTCCCAGCCCCATCCCTCCCCACCTGCGCACAGTACTGGGACTTGGAGACGGCCTGGATGAGCTTGAGGGTGGGCTGGGAGAGGGAACCCAGCGGGGGATCAGCCCGGAGCAGTGCTGTGAACTTGTCAGAAGGGCCAGAGCCTGCAATGTGGGGGAAAAGGAGAGGTGTGGCGGCAGGCATTGGGCACACAGAGCATGCTGTGGCACAGGGTCTTACCGTGCTGCAGGTAGTAGAAGGGAAAATCCCCGAGGTGTGTGGAGAAGTCAGGCAGTGCCAGCAGCCCCCCAGGCAGTGAGTTCCAGAGGATGCGGGATCGCGAGCGGTGCGGGAGCAGCCGATCCCGAATGATCTGTGTGAGGACATCAGCACACCGAGGTGGTCCCGGTAGCAGGGGGGGGCTTTTTGGGGCCAGGCTCACCTCCAGTGTGGTGTGCACAATCTTGTCGACAGAGGAAAAGTATGCATCCCACAGGAACTGAGTCTGCTGTTGGAATGCCAGCACGCGCTCCGGGCGGATGCAGCGGACAGCAGAGGGGATCTGCAGGATGGGAGGGATGGGGTTCTCATCTCAGACCCCAAATCAGGTCAACCCCTGGTGCTGGACATGGGGCAGCACCACAGTACCTGCAGGAGAAGTCGCTCGCTGCCCACCACGGCCGCTTTGCCCCAGTCGATGGCCTCAGAGAAGGGCAGCTCCCAGCCGTCGCTCAGCAGCACTGGGATGCAGGCGGCCTGCGCAGGACCCCATGAGCACAGGGACACCAGGGATGATCCCTCATGCCCTCGCAGCCCCCTGGTACCTGCAGTGCCTCCAGGAAGCGGAAGGAGCCCAGACGCCGCCCTCGGGGCACGATGCAGAAGGTGGAGTTGTGCAGCAGCTCCTGGTAGTCAAACCTGGCAGGGGAAGGGGAGTCAGGCGTGGGCTCAGCACCATCCGCTCCCCAGCAATGAAGCACAGTGCACAGTCAGCACCCAAATCCCTGAGCCCCAAAACTGCATTGAGTCCTGGTACTGCTCAGGGGGGGCTGCAGGCAGTGCATCCTCCTGGCTGTGAAAGCCCCTTCTGTGCTGTTGCAGGGAAAGGCATTCACAGAGCCCTGCGACCACATCGGAAAAGCCAATATTGACATTTGGGTGGGACAGACCCTGTCTGTTCCTGCACATAAAGAGGATGGGTCCTGGGTGGGATGGGGGGGATTGCGAGGCCAAAGTAATGTGGGATATTGCTGACCCCAAGGGGAAGGTCCCCTGGACCCAGCTGTGGTGAGGATGTGGGGTCAGCACCGGCCACCTCCAGGCTGGGGGAACTGATGGGGTGGCTGTGAGGTAAGGATGAACCCCCCTGTGTGTGCTGCAGCATCCCTGCAGGGAGCCAGCCCAGCGCTGAGGCGTCAGCAACACCAACCTTTAGGAACAAAATGCACCTCCAGAGAACCCATCTGACCAAAAACTCCATGAACACGCTCTGCCTCTGCCATATCCCAGGGATACCCCACCGCCACCTGCCCCATGGGAACGCGATGTGTCCCCAATGGCCGGGCATCCTTCCCTCGCAGGCGGCCGTGGTGGGGAGCCTGGCGCCGGCCGGGCTGCGGGGCCGGCACCTCCCGATAGAAACACTCAGCTCCTGACGCACTGTGGTTTCCGGGCAATCGAGCCGGCAGGGCTTCCTTGTTTTGTTAGGGCCGGGCCGGGTGCCCACCGTGCTCCCCCTGCACGGCCCCTGTGCAGCTCCGGCTGGGCTCGGTGCCACGGGGGACCCGCGGCTGCAGGGAGCCCTCCCCGAGGCGGCGGTAGCAGGGCAGGACCGTGGCATGGCCACAACTGCCCTTTATCCAGTACAGAACGGGTTTGTTCTGGAGTGAGGGGGGCGATGCAGCCCTGAACAAGGCTGGCTTCTTCTCCTGTGGTTCAGTGGCAGGGCTTGCTGTCCCCAAGCAAACAGGGACATCTCCAAAACTCAGAGCACCCTGTCCCTGGTGTGCTGTCCCCACTGCCCCTTTGCCCCTGTCCCACCTGGGGACATCTGCACACATCCTTGGCTGGGTGCAATGGAGATGCTGATGCCTTTCTACCCAGGTGTCCCACAGGGACAAGTGCGACAAGACACATGGTCACAAGGAGGACACAGCCATGTGCCACGTGCTCACCATCAGTCTGCTCTCTAAAGCTGTCCTGGGCGAGGTGTAAATCCCCGTGTATCACAAACAGCATTAGAGGATTACCTGGGCTGGGTGGAAAGGGGATTTCCCACCCCATAGTGCAGTACTGACCTTGGGTCCCATCCCACTGGCCCACCACATGTCCCACTGCCCCGTCCCCAAGAAGGCCCCACCATGAGGGCTGATCCTCCTGAGCCTCCCTGAAGCCCTGGCTAATCCAAGTGTCTGCAGCCCCAGCTCCACTTTTACCTCCCAGCACCTCCTAAGATACTTTGAGGATATTTCCCATCAGTTCTCGTGTGGCCATGAGCTGTTCCAAAGCTGCAGGCAAGGAGCCCACACTGTGATGTCCACACCAGGATGCCCAAGCACCCGTTGGTTTTATGGGACTTGGAGCTGAGCTGGGCTGGGGGGAAATTTCAGGCTCATCTCCAAAATAAACATTTATGTTAGGGGAGGACAGCAGAGGGGAGTAGAAAAGCATCATTCATCGGTGTTAGGAAAAAGAGAAATCGTATTAGGAGCAGCAGTGGCGACTGCAGATCAGAACTGCTCTCACCAGATTGCTCCAACTTTAATACAGAATGGATCAGCCTCAAACCACCACCACCTTACAAGACGGAAATGAAACCAGGAGAGCCTCAGACTGTCCCCATTCCCTGTGCACACCTACAGAGCCTCTCCCCCCGCCTGGCCCCAGCCCCATCCCACTCACTTTTCATAGTCCACGTTGTCCTGGTCGCAGCGCGTGTCCTTGTGCCTCTCCCAGTCCTTGCCATGCCTGCAGGTGGTGAGCGACACGATGTCCCTCCCGTTGTGGATGTGGTGCAGAGCATTCCTGGTGCCGGAGCCGATCCCGGTCAGGTAACGTTTCCCCTTGAACACCAGCAAATATTTCTTTTTTGGGGGCACCGAGTTGTGGTGCAGCCACCCGCTCTGCCCGCCGCGCTGCGGATGCTCCCTGGGGAAGAGGGGGATGGAGACATCAAAACCGGGCCTGAAGTTCTTGCTGTGGAAGCTGGCCTTGGCCAGCATGGCGTGGCCTATGTCAAAACCCAGCTCCTCGGTGTAGTTGGGCCAAGTGCCCGCATACAGGTTGAAGATGAGGTGGTTGCGGCCGCTGTTCCACAAGGGGAAGGAGCGGATCCTCTGCTCCACGCTGCGGATGTAGTGAGCAGAGAGGGGGTCACGGTCCAACGTGTCGATGCTCAGCACGAAGAGACAGGCTTCCTCGGGATGTGGGGTGTAGTAACGCGAGCTCTCGATGGAGGTGAGGATCTTGCTGTAGCTCTCCGACATGGGCTCACCGTGCTCCCGCGGGTACGTGAACACCTTGAAGCCATTCTGGCAGCGGGAGGCGTCGAAGCAGTTCTCCATGCGGCACCGGCTGCCCTGGGATGTGCTCAGCTGTGCCGCCCGCAGGGCTCGGGGTGAGGGCTGCGCCGTGTCACCGCTGCCCTGCAGCTCCGTGGGCTCCGCAAAGCTGTGCAGGAGGGCACGATCCGCCCAGCGGGGCCAACTCCTGCAGGCTGCGACGTTCCTCCTGGGAAAGAAAGCAAAACGACGCAGCTGCTCTCTTCCAAAGAAGAAAAGCAGAAGCCAAGAGGCGAGGAAAGTCAGGAAAATGTATTTCTTCCTGGTCTGCATAGGTTCACGAGCTTCTCATCAGGCTCGGACGGGTACTGCGGTCCGGTGGAAAGAACGGTGTCCCCGACCCCAGGCGGAGCGGCTCTTGACGCTCAATGCCCCGCAGTATGGGGATGGGGGACCCCGCGATCCTCCTTCGGTGGGTTTCCCACTGCCTCCCCTCCAGCGCAGCGTTCCCTTCACTCCCGGGCTCCGTGCAGCGACGGTCACATTTCCCTCTGCCGTCTGGCCCAGCTTCAAATCCCTAGGGAGGGAGCGAGGTCGCATGATCGCTTCCCTTCCAAGCGGGTCAATCCCGGCGAGACTCCCCCCGCAGCCTCCGGGAGACAACCCCGGCTCACCGCCGCTCCCGTACCTCAGCTGCTCCTCCGCCGTCCCGGCGCCGGTGCCCGCTCTCGGTCGATGCTGCCCGCGGGATCCGGCCGTGCCGCAGCCCCGGCTCCACATCCCTGACGCGGCCGCACGACGGGGGCCCCGCGCTGCCTTAACGCCGCCGCGGGACGGCTGTGGGGCGGTCCCCGCACTCCATCGGCCCCGCTCCCCGGAGGGGGTCTCGCCGCGTTCCGCCGCTCATTGCGCCGGGGGCACCCCCCCCTTCCCAGCGCCTTGCTGTGCCTCCTGAGGGTGTTACTGTCCTCGGCAGTGTCCCCCTGCTGTCACTTCATCAGTTGGGCTGCCCGTCCGTCTTCCTCCCAACAAACAGCCACCGCCGCGCTGTTTGTGCCCCTCCGGGCTGCTGACACCCCGAGTCAAGCTGCGTGTCCCCCCTCACGCTGTTTCCTCCCCCCCCACGCTGTCTGTCCCCCCGGCAAGCTCTGTCCCTCTCTCCCCCCGGTGCCGTCCCCGTGTCCCTTCACTTGCTCTTGTTCCCCTCTCCCGAGCTGTCACTTCCCCCGTTGTCCCCCCCAGCCGCATCTGTCACTCGGCCTCCCGCTCCCCCTGCCACCGAGTCCCCGCCCCCGGGGACTCCCATTGGCTGTCTGAGTCCAAGTGGGCGTGGCCCGCGGCACCAAAAAGGCGCGCCCCGGAGACATCGCGGCGCGTCCACGTGGCCGTGGGGGTTCCCCCGTCTCGGCGGGGTCTGTGTGAGGGTCCCGTAGCCCATTCGGTGTGTATCCGTGCCCTCACCCAGCCCCGCAGTGCTGCCATCACGGCGTCCCACGTGGGAGTGGGGCACCCTCGTCCCGCCTACCGGAGGTGAGCCCCGGGGCACGGCGGGCAGGCCGGAGCTCGCAGCTCGCAGCCCCCACCCCTCCCGGCAGCCCAGGCGTTGAAACCGAGCCGTGGGTGTAACAACGCGGCCGGCCTCAGCCCGCGGGGACGCGGGGCGGGGAGCGGAGCGGTTGGCATGCAGCGGGAGTGGCACTGCCACAGCCCTACCGGGCCCACACCTGACTCAGTTTCCCCGGGGTGGAGCAGCGCGTGGGTTGCGTGCATAGGAAATTGTCAGGGATTATTATTATTGTTTTTAAACCAAATCTTTGGCGATTTGCCCGGCTCAGGGGACAGCTCAGCCCCGCTGGGATTTAATCCCCCGCCGCCGTGGATTATCGGGGGCGCGGGGCTGCGAAAGCGGTTTAAGTTAAAGACGGGGAACGTGGGGACGGGGGGAGGGCGTGGGGGCAGGCGGAGCCCAGCAGCGCCACGGGGCTTTGGGGAACCGTGATTTGAGCTGGGGACCGTCTTCCGCACTGGGAGGTGCGGTTGCAGCAGTGACACGGGGAGGTGCGCCGCCGGTGCTCGAAGTGGGGGGAGTGCTGAGTGCGAGGGCTAGGGGGTGAAGCTGGGGAGGGCATAGCGGGTAATTGGGAGTTCGAGGAGCTACGTGTTGCGGGGACGCTGAGAGCTGCGGAGTAGACGGGGCGGGGAGCGCTGGGGGCTGAGGCGGGGTGGGTTGGTGGGGGGTTGGTGAGGGAGGGGCGGGGAGAGCTGTGGTGCTGCGGGGGATGCTGGGAGCTGTAGTCCGGTTACCCGGTGCGTTCTGGGAGATGTAGTCCTCAGTCAAGGAGACGTTGGGAGCTGTAGTTCTCCGTGGGTGCGATACAGAACCGCATCCTCCCGTGTCTCCCGCGGTGCTCAGGGCTGTCCCCGTGTCAGCCCTGCGCCGTTCTCTCGCTCACAGCTTTATGTGCCACCTCCGGCTCGGCCAAGCCGCCCCTTCCCGTCTTCCACGTCCCCCATCGTGGAATGGGGTCAGCTGTCCGGCCGCGGTGTGAACATGGGGCGAATTGGGCACGGGATGCGTTTAACAACCGCGTGTGTCAATGAGGCGAGTCGGGACACGGGGCGAGAAAGCACAGCCGTAACCTCTGATCGGCTGCAGGACTTTGCTCGCTCGGGACAGCCACGTGGCCGGGGTACAGGGCAGCGCGGAGCCGGGGCGGCGGCGGGGATACGCTGCGATCCGCGGTGTGTGCGGGGTTCCGTAGGTGCGGAGGGGAGCAGGAGCCTTTTTTCTGGCAGGTATGAGGAGTGGCCGCGGTGTGGAGATTTGGTGACAGGAGAAAGAGGAGGTTTGGGGGGACGGCTGCTGACCGCATCGCTCTGCCTAGGCTCGGCTGCGGTGCCATGGGAGGGGAACAGTCGCTGGCACTGCCCCCGGAGAAGGGACCTCACCGCGTGGGTTGCGCGGACGTCATGGTGGGCCATACGCAGCAGGTATGGGATGGGGGCGGGCGGGGCGGCTGCTGGGTATCGGCAGGGCTGAGTTCCTGAGGACATCTTGTGGCCGCTGCCAGGACGCACCACGTTCCCCGTCCCCTCTGTCCAGCAGGGGCTCTTCTTCCGCCTCTTCTACCCCTGCGTACCCCGGGATGGAGCCGAACGGCCGCTCTGGATCCCTCGCTACGAGTACTGCAGCGGACTGGCTGATGTCAGTGGCCACAGCCGGCGGTGGTGCGCTCCGCTGCTCAGCATCGCCGTCGGTGAGGGGCGGCCCTACTCCCATCCCCACGTAGGCATTCCCGTGTCTTCCACACCTGCTGCTTTCGTGGGCTTAAGGCCAATCCATCGGGCCCTGGAGTGAAGAGGAGCTAGGGTCGGTGCAGTGGGTCCAAGCAGTGCTTTGCTGCCTATCTCCTCGATTTTTCTTGGGGTGTTTTTTTTTTTGTCCCTCACAGGCTCCTGCAGAGTGCCGCTGAGCTGGAAGGCACCTTTCAAAACCTGCAGCAGTGGGTACCCGTTGATCATCTTCTCACATGGCTTGGGAGCCTTTCGGTAGGGGGGGCTGGGGCTGGGATGGGAACTCGAATGCTGCGAGGTCCTCGCAGTCCATCACCAACCCACCGGTGCTCAAGACAGAGGCCTGACCTCATCCCTTCACAGCACTGTGTACTCATCCATCTGCATGCAGATGGCATCCTGGGGCTTTGTGGTGGCTGCGCTGGAGCACAGGTTGGTGTCACAGTCCTTGCAGCCTCGAGACGAAACCCCTCCCCAAATACATGGAAGGATGGGGGCCAGGCAAAGGGCTGCCTCACCATGTTCCCCTTTCCTACTTGCTGCTGCAGGGACAGTTCTGCTGCCATGACCTATTTCTGCACGGCAGAGGCTGTCCGGGAGCAGTGGATCCCCCACCAGCAGGTGCCACAGGGACAGAAGGAGTTTTATTTTCGGAACAATCAGGTAAGGGGAGGGGGGATGGGAGGGACTGGGATGGGCAAACCAGGATGGATCACATCCCCCACCCTAGGGGATCTACCCTTCCCAAACCTGTACTGCATTAATACTGGGGCTGAACCTGAGCTTTCTCCTTGTAAACTGAGAAAAACCCACTCCACCCCATTTGTCTCCTTTTCTCGGGTCTGGGGGCCTGCTGGTGCTCTCCCATTGCTGTCTCTCTGGGATTACCCTGCACAGCTGATAGCAGGAGGGCTTCCTGCTGAGCGAGGTTCCCCGCTGCTCCTTTCTGTCTTGTTTAAAAGGGAAGCACAGAGCTGAGATCTGTGGCTGGAAGCCACTTCAGAACATGCGGAGCCTGGAGGTGCTTTTGGCAGTCCTAAATCCCAGCCTGTTATTTTTATGTGTGCTCAGGACTGGGATGTGAGCTGAGGGCAGAGCCTCGGTCTGAAGTGCAGCATCTTCTGTCAGCACTGCTGTGGCTCAGAATGGAGAGTGTTTGAGGGCTTTGGGTTATCTCCAGTGGTCTGTGGTATCAGATTAAGTGAATTAATAATAATAACAAAGAAATTTACTGCATCCCTTGTGGGAGCCGCTGTGGTGCAGCCTCCTGTTTGCTTTTATGCTTGCGGTAATTCAGGGAAATGAGCTGTGTCTGAGTGCTGGGGGTTCAGAGGAGAGCTCTTGTTGGGAGATGTGGGGAAAAGAAGCACCTGTGAAGACTCCCACAGGGTTTGCTCAGCTGATGGGGGCAGTTTGCACTGCAGGTTCATCACAGAGCAAATGAGTGTGCACGAGCACTTCAGCTCTTCCGGGCTGTCAACAGTGGTAAATCCATCCCCAACATCCTTCCTCAGGGCTTCGACCTCTCTGTGTTGAAGGTACATGGGGCTGCAGGGCTGGCCTGGGTGCTCCTGGCTGGAAGGGCCAGGTCATGTTGTGTGACAAACAGGAAAATGCCTTCATTGTGGTGCACGTCTTTCTTGCAGGACAGCATTGACTTGGCTAAAGCAGCCGTCATGGGCCATTCATTTGGTGGGGTGACAGCTGTGCTGGCCTTGGTGAAGGAATCTGGGTTCAGGTGGGTGGCTCTGGGATGCTTCCAAGGGCTGGGAAGGCCACAAAGGGGCTATGGGCACATGTGCCCATCCCACCAGGTGTGCGGTGGCCCTGGATGCATGGATGTTTCCCCTGGAGAACGTGCTGTACTCTGAGGTGCCCAAACCTGTGCTCTTCATCAACGCCGAGAAGTTCCAGACCCCCGAAAGCGTGGCCAAAATGAAAAGGCTGAGCTCCAGGAACAGGCAGACAAAGATCATAACCATCCTGTGAGTCTGGGGCTGAGGCAGGTGCCTGGTCAGGAGTGGGAGGCTCTTACCCATGCTCCCTTCCCTTCCCCAGGGGATCTGTGCACCAGAGCCAGACTGATTTTGCCTTCCTCACCGGGAAGCTCATCCCCCGTGTCTTCAATGCGAGGGGCACCCTCGACCCCCACAAGTGCCTGGACATCATCACCCAGGCGGCTCTGGCCTTCCTGCAGAGGCACCTTGGTATGGCACAGGTGGAATTAAATGGGGCTTGCGAAGGCAGGAGGTTGGTTTGATGATGCCTGTTCAATACGGCCATGAGCTGCCTGGCTGCCATCTTCTGGGCACGAGTGGCAATGTCCAGAGGACATGGGGAAGTGTTGGCTGGGAAGTCCTTGGGAAAGCTGCTGGTTTGGTCTCTTTCCTGCTCCTACAATGGCTGCTCCTCTTATGCATGAAACCGGGGTGATTATTGTTGTAGTAACCCTGAAACCATCTCTGCCCCATGCAGATGTGAGAGAGGAGTTTGCTCGATGGGACCACCTCCTCGAAGGCATTGGGGACTCTGTCATTCCAGAAGCACCTTTCCGCCTCTCCAACCTGTAGCTTGCTGTTGGGATCCAGCTGCTGAGAATTCAGCTGCTCCTTGTCTAAAATGTTTGGGGTCTGCCTCCAAAGGGGAGGAGGACACCTGGGAGAGTGAGGCCTGCAAACTGTGCTTGCAAGATATGGCCATGATGCCCGCCATGCTTCCACGAAGCCTTCTCTGCCTGAGAGCCTGTGATGGCTGCTGGAGACTGCAGAGCTCAGGGAATAAAACCCCTGGGGTCACAGACTTGAGCTTGCCTTGGTGATAGTGCCCTGCTTGCGTGAATGGGCCCTGTGTGCACTGCAGCAGTGGGGTTGCTGCAGGTTGGGGGGTTCAAGCAATGATCCAGCACAAGGAAAGATGCAATAAGGGCTCTGAGTATGGAGATGGTAAAGTCTGATCAGGGCACTTTGCAAGTGCGAAGCTGGGGGGAGTTGAGGAGCAAGTAGGGCACAATCCTAGGTGTAATACCAGAGATGCTGGGACAAGGAGTGCTGTGTAAGGTGGCTCCCACCCTCAGCTGTCCCCAAGCAGAAGCCCGGTGCTTCTGGAGCTGCACTGGTGGTGGTCCTACAGATGTCCCCAGGCTCCCCTGGGTGGTGGGGGTGGGATGCAGCAGGACACGCTGTTCAGCAGCTGCTGCATTGCTGAGTGGTGTCCATCTGCTCCTCCTTTGTCCCCGCTGGGCATGCACATGGTGAGGGCAGTGTCAGCCCAGTGCCACAGCTCCTGCATTGCAGGGAGAAGCCATGGGCATGGTTCACAGCATTGCATGCAGCTAGGATGCCCTGGCTTAGGGTGCTGGGAACTATTCCTCATCTGGAGACAGCAAACCTGGGGGAAAGGGAGGGGAAATGGAAAGGAATGGGGAGGGAGCAGCATCCTTCCTCTGTTCTCCATCTGTGCCACTGCGATAGCCGAATCCTTTCCTCCTTGTCTCCTTTTAATTGAGGAGGTAAGGATGCTCTGGGGGGGAGATGCAACAGCAGAAGTGCTCATCTTCATGCAAAGCAAGGACTGGTGTGGACAAAGCTGCAAGACCTCAATTCTTTTAGAGGTTCCAGATACATACTTGTTAACTGATTTATACCCTCTCTGGTGCTGGGAGCATACTGGAGCATCATGCAGCGTTGGGACCAAGGTATTGAGGGTGAGGAGGAGACACTTGAGGTCACTGCCTGCAGAGCCCATTTGGGGAAACACACCTCTGTGTCCTACCTAACAGTGAGAGACAGTGACTGGTGCAGAAATCAAGTCCCATCTTCCTCCCAGAATTAGCACTGCTCTGATGTGCTCTGACATTGCAGGGAGTGGCTCAGCTCCGCGTGGCTGAGGGAGGCTATAAATTCTGCACGAGCCTTATGTAAAGGCTCAGGAAGGAGGGGGGGGGGATGACTGTGGTTGGAGGGCAACTTCAATATGTTAACCCTTCGGTGTGTTGAAAGCTGCTCATTTCCACCTCCCGTGCCAGCCTTAGGCTCAGTGCTGCTTCTTCCAAACCCAGCCCAGATTCCCCCCCCACTGGCATCCTCCAGGCTGGAGTGTGGCATGGGGACAGGAATGGAGGATGCCAGGAGCAGTGTGTGCACAAGCAGTGCCACAAATCCTCAGGTGTGGCACAGGGCGATGCTGCTCACCCTGCTGCTGGATTGATGCACTGTGTTGCTGGACCTGGATGGAAGGCTTTTTATTGGGGGGAGGGGGGAGGGGGGACAGGAAGCAGCAGTTAAGGGTTGCCATGATTTGCGAGCTGCTCCAGCACCCAACTGCTTATCAGCTCTCGGTCACCCTGTCCTTACATGTGGGGGTTTGTGTCTATTGGGTCCCACTGGGGGGCTTTGCTGCTCAATGGGAGATCAACCCTCGTTGGGAGGGACTTGCTTCAAGCTGAGCTCTGCACCGTGCCTGCTCTGCTTCCATATTCCGACTGGTGGTTTATAAATAAATAAATAACCCAACAGCTGCCCGTTTATATTCCTCTCACAGCTGTGCTTGCAGCGTGGCCAGGGTGTGAATGGGTGCATTCCTCTATCGCAGTGCAAGCTCTGCTTTCTGAAAGCTGCTGTTCCCAGGGTTGGGGCTGAGATCGGGCAGCACAAACACAGCAGGCTCAGGGCTCTCCATGCATCCCTCCCTACCCACACACACACACCCCAGCCCAGCAATAAGCACTGCTGCTCGAAAGCCAGCTTTGTTCCATCGAAGCTTGCTGCTTGATTTAATTAATTAATGCAAATTGAGACTTGTGTTAAAGCCTCCTTTTAATTACCGTAACATCTAGTGGAGCGTGATTCTTTTTTCTTCCCTTTTGCTTGTGTTTGTTAAAGGAATAGCAAAGCCTGGATGTGCAGCACCCAGCCCACTTCCCAGCCAGCTCCTCTCTCCTCGCAGCCCTTTGATCGGTGAGTACACGCAGCTCTTCACCTTGCTCTGTTCTTTCCCTTGGCAAATCAAATCTTTACTCCGGGTGAAGTTCAAAGGAAAAATCAACTTCCCTTATGACAGAAGCGAGTTGTTGTCATCGCTTCCAGGCTACCTGGAGGGAAAAACAGGTGTTTTTTTTTTTTGTCAGTTTTCACTCTGAAGCCCCATTGCAGCTGCAGCGATGCTCTGCTGGCCCTGGATGGGACAAGAGATGCTCCCTGAATAACAGAAAAAAGAAAAAGAGGATGAAGGGAAACCGAGGCACTGGAGGAGGAAAAGGGCTGCGTGAGGTCTCTCTAGTTTCAGGCTGTACAAAACACGGTGGAGGGATCATTTGGGGTCATTTCCCCTGAGTGTAGGAAGCACAGGCTGAGCTCAGACCCTGTGGGATGTGAACCACAGGTGCTCCATCAGCCCCATCCTGGCTGACACGGGGCCTCAGGATGCCTTTGTCTCCTCAAGTCCATAGCAGCTCTCTAACAACATCCAGCACCCAAGGCCTGGGCTGGGTTTCTGGTTGTTTTTATTTTTAATTAAATGAAGCACTTAGGTTAGCAGTCACAACGTAGGCATGTCTCTCTGGGTATTGATTTTAGAGCACAGCAGCAGTTGGGTTTATTGCATAAAAGACAGCGATGGGTTTTCAGCCAGCAAGGCTGCCTTTGTTTGCCTGCTCTCGCAGCTGTAGTGGATGTGCCTGGTCTTTTTTTTTTCCTTTTAATATATGTATTGATTGATTAGGAGTTCAAATTAGTGGGGGGAAAAAAGGAATCAGACAGCACTGAGCAAATGTTAAGTGCAGGTATTGTTTCCATACTGAGTGATTCCAGGCAGCCCACAGAGCCAGGGGGATGGAGTGGGAATTAACCCATTTTGAAGCCAAATTGTTGATGGAGATGGGAGAGAATTACTGATTGTCCTGAAGGGATGTGGGGGCTGAAAGCAGCTCATGGCTGGACTGCAGTGTGGAAAGATGCTTTAAAGTGTGTGTGTGTATATATATTCAAATACACACGTGTATGTGTATGTATACATATGTATTTGGCTCACAAAACAGACAGGAATGGTTTGTGTCCATGGTGTCTGACACAGATCTCATCCACATACAGCACTGTGGTTCTGTGTGGGGTGATATTTCCTTCCAGCGCCCATTCAAAGGAAGGCACTGTAGGATTTTCCCAGGCAGCAGATTTCTGCAAGAAATCCATCCCTATAGGGCTCTGCACTGATTCTGTAATTGAATCTGCTTTGATAGCAAGCAGCCCGAAGCTCTGCATTGAGTGTTATTGCAGAGTTTGTTCCTAGTGAAAGCAGGCTCACTCTGGGGTTGCTACCAGCTCACCCACCTCGTCTGTTTGACACAGGGGAAGTCGTGCTCCTTTAAGAGGATTTCCATCCCTGAACTCCTCCCATCACAACACTTCCAAGCTACATTCTGTCGTGAAAGGGTGGGAGTATTTTTAACCATATCTCACCAGGGAAGTATTAATAGCACAATGGGCTTGCTGAGATGCTGAGAGAGCTGAAACCATCGTTTAAATGCAAGGAACTAATTAGGAACCAGGGAATAATTAGTGCTATCCCCAGCTTTTCTTTCCCTCACTTCATTTGGAAAGAGCGAAAGCAAATGTCTTTACTGGAATCTTCCATCTCTACTGGATTTGTTTTATGACTTCTTATGTACCTCTCTTCCACCTGGTTGTTGAAAACACGTTGTCTCCTTTGCTCTGTCCCACCTGCAGTGACTGACTGTCACTTCTGAAATGTAATTAGTGCCTCTCACGTTGGCTCACACGCACAAAAACCAGCATAAAGCCGTAGGGCTTCTCAGCAGCCCCTCTCCATGGCTCTCCCACCCTCAGCGCTGGGCTGTGCGCAAGCGTCCTCAAATAGCAAAATTCTCAGTGCTCCATATGGGAAACACAGATATGTGTGCTGGGAGCAGAAGGAGGAAAGCTGAGATGTAAGGATGAAAGGATGCTGAGAGTAAGGAGAGCGGAGCAAGGCGAGGAGACCCCCGGGACAGCTTTCACCGCACACAGACCCCTTCTATCAGGCAGTTCTCAGCACTGCTGGTGTCATGGAGGAATCCACCAACCCTGGAATGTTACCCAGTGTGAAGTCTCTGCTTTCTATTAACAGCTGAGTCCTTTCCCTCACTCTTGCCTCTCCCCAGCCGCCTCACCTGATTGCCAGAAGCTCGAGGAACTCAGCTGTTGTGCTTTTTTTCTTGCCCAGCCCCATCACTCGCTGCGCCCTTCCCAGTGGGAGAGGGGAAGGAATTGTATGAAGCAAGTTCCAGTGAATTTCCCAAAAGCAAACCTGCGACAGAATTCAGGTGCCTTGTCTGATTGGAAAAAAGTCCAATAGTTTCCAGCAGCACGTGGAGAAGTGCACAGGGGCTTGCTGGAGGTTAGTGCAAAGGCTGGGAAACAGGGAAAGGGGAAACCTTGCAGCCTTTCTCTACCCCTGAGCACAAGTTTCTTTTATTGCTGTCTCCTCTCACAGGTTCTGATTGACTTGGATCAAGCAGAGCATTGGATTTCTAGCTTTAGGACGTGCTTTACTCATGCAGTGACCATTGCTAGTCTCAGAAAGTGCTTGCTGCTGATAGCACTTACAAAGGTGCTTTGAAACATTCTCCAACTAACATATAGGATGGCAGCCTGTCCACCACGTGTGCTTAAGCGTGGCACTTCAATGCTCACAAAGCACATTTTCTCACTGGAGATTAAATATTTTTGCAAGTTAAAAGAGCTGCCGTGGGCTGAGTTGTCACCTAATTATGTCAGTCTCTTTGTGGAGTATTTTGATAATCAACATCAGA